AGCGCCGTGGGGTTGTTGAGGGAGGCGTCGGCGTCCTCGAGCCACCTCTGGAGCAATGGTTTCAATTTACACATGTTTTTGAACGATAGGTTCAACGCCTCGAAACGGGATATCGTGGTCTGACTGAAGTCATTGCCGTATAGTTTACCCATCGCTAGGCCTACGTCTCCCTGAGTGAAGCCTATGTGTGTCCGCAGGGAAAGGGAGATAACAGAAAGGGTTTTGAGTGTTAATTAAGTTTTGGGTACTTTTCGCGCAAAAGTCTCATTCAATTGAATGGAAAAAAATTTTCATAAACTGACAGAAAGTGTGTTACAAATTGACAGATAGGGTAGACATTGAAGGCATACCTAATTTGATCCGTCGCTGTTTAAAAGTCTTGGCGAACTGTTCCAACTCCTCGAGGTCTGTCATCTCGTCGGGGTTGGGATCCGTGGGTCGGGTGGCGACCGCTTTGAGCGGCGGGTGTGTGTTGAGTAGGGATGACGTGTTGTTACTATTCGTGAGGTTATTGGTACTATTGGTGACACTATTGGCGACACTGTTTGTACTGATCTTGTTATGAGTGGTGCTGTGCGTCGACTGCGAATGATTGGTACCATTATTGGCGGCACCGGAGCTGTTGTGGTGATGTTGCGAGTGATTGGAGGACTGGTGGCCAGACTGTTGGCCACCACTCGACTGCTGGTGCGACGACTGGTGCTGTTGTGTCTGATTATGGCTGCCATGGCCTGAAGAGGTGTTGTTGGAGGTGTGCGACGAGTGGTTACCGGCGCCGCCGATGGACTGATGGGACTGTGAGCTCACGTTTTGCAGCAATTGTTGCGATTCTTGCAGTTGTTGTAACTGTTGTGCGGCCGCAGCGGCTGCCACTTGCGGTAGGACTCCCTGTCCGGTGGCCAGACTGTGCAGACTTTGCTGGAACAGGCCCTGGTGCAGTAGACCCTAGTGCAAATATTTTGTATTTAGTAATTGAGATAATATGTACGGGTATTATTGCACTAAAATTCTGTACACAATGTATTCTGTATACACTATTTAATGAATAATATTGCAGTAACTAGGTAAGTATGTTTATATCTACCCGATAGCTAATATTCGTCTGGTTTTACGTCATTGAATGAAAATATAAATTCAGTTTTAATAATACAGTATTTGTAATAAAATTTATATGAATCTACTAACAACTACAGTATTCATAATAAAGATGATATTTTTAATTTTTGTTTACTACTTTGTATAAAATTTAATATTTACGGTATTTAAATTTTAAGGCATATATGAGATTATATTTTAACTTTTTTACAACTACGTTAATATCTCAAAACAAAAGCACCATTACTCTAAATTGAATGCTAGCTTATTTATTGTCAAATAGTTTTAATGTTAAAAATTTGAATAATCTTTTAGATATAACTCGCGAAACAAATAATGCATAAAACTTCTGATAATTATGATACCTGTGTTGAACTTCACAGAAATAACTTAGTTGGCAAGTCTTACCTGATTTTGTAGGAGAAGCTGCGCCTGGAGTTGCTGTATGTTTTGCGGCAACTGTCCCATCTGTCCCAACTGACCCAAACCGCCGGCCAATTGGTTTTGTTGCTGTAGGAGAAGCAACGGCTGAATATTCTGCAGATTCTGCTGCTGTTGCTGTAGTTGTTGTAACTGTTGCTGCAATTGCTGGAGATCTGTATTCTGTGCGCTCAGACCTGACAGCGTGTTTGTCACTGGGATCTGATGGACACCACAACCAAAAACAGATAATAGCATTAGGATTGCAGTCCAGACGCAGATAGAAGCAACGGCTGAATATTCTGCAGATTCTGCTGCTGTTGCTGTAACTGCTGTTGAATGTGCTGTAAGTCTGAATTCTGTGGCGTCAGTCCCGCCAGAGTGTTGTTCACCGGTAGCTAAAAGTTATGACAAATTATGTAAACTTATATAACTTAACAAACTTTTTTTTATTAAATCATACTTTGGACGCCTGCTGTAACTGTTGAGCTAAGCCGGCCTGCAGTAGCATTTGCTGTTGACCTGCCTGTGCCATCAGCTATCGGTGCCATTCAGTGACCACGAAATAGACAATTATTTTAATTAATTATTTTAATTATTTGAAAAAACTAATCTCATATCTGAATGCCTGTCCCATACCTGTGTCAGCAATTGGTTGACGGATATACCGTTAGCGGCGGCAGCAGTGGCCAGGGCTGCGGCTGCCGTCGCGAATGTGGTCGGAGACAGTTGAGGGCCACCCGTCTGCTGACCGGCCGACCCTCCGTTGGGTCCGTTTGTGGAACCGTTTCGGTCGCTATTTGTGTTGAACTTATTTGGGTTGCGATTTGAGGACAACTTCTCCCTCCCGTCCCTCCCGTTCGGCGCCATTAAGTTCTTTTCCAAACGGTTTATCTGATTATTAAACGCAATGTTATTGTGAGTTAAGCCGACGTTAACCGTCGCGTCGATTGGCTCGTCATCCATGGCCTACAGACACACCATTCAGACATGTATTAGAGACGCAATCGTATCGATGATAATCAGAGTATTTATGGGCAGTTATATGTGTTTGTAATTATATTCTGTATCTGTTTTAGTGGTGAATGTGTGGTCTATTGGGTGATAGGATGGACAGGAATTCATACCAAATTCAACGCCTTGTCTGAGTCGAGACTATTGTCGTCGTCCTGACCCAAGTCACCGGAATCGACACTCGACCGGCTGTCCTGCGTGTCTGAGAGGTCACCATTCATTCCCGGGTCTGGTAATTGAACAAGGTAACTGCCTTGTCTGAGTCGAGACTATTGTCGTCGTCCTGACCCAAGTCACCGGAATCGACACTCGACCGGCTGTCCTGCGTGTCTGAGAGGTCACCATTCATTCCCGGCTCTGGTAATTGAACAAGGTAACAAAACATTTTAGATCATTCATTAATCATATTGTGAAATGTGTTTAAATTAATTGCTAATCTAAACATTAAGACTATCTCTAGAAAAGTATTTTTAGTGACAGTTATATCAGTAAAACATACGAAAAAAAGTTTTCAATAAGTTTTCATTCAAGGTATAGTATTTTATCAATAGCTTTGCACTCATTTAATTAATTAGTAAATAATTTAGTTGTTACCATTAAACTGATTATGAAAATTAATTAAAAAATTAAATAAAAAATAATTCATTACTAAATAACCTCTTAAATAATAAATTAATATAATATATTGAGCAATACTAATTTAGTACAATTATATGCGGGATATGAATCGCATAAATTACCACGAGTCATGTATAATAATAAATATACTAAATTAGAAATTAGTTCAAAATACACATAATTTAANAATATAATATATTGAGCAATACTAATTTAGTACAATTATATGCGGGATATGAATCGCATAAATTACCACGAGTCATGTATAATAATAAATATACTAAATTAGAAATTAGTTCAAAATACACATAATTTAAAAACATATTTACATAAAAATATATATATTATTATATATAAATATATATTATTAAATTTTATTAAATGTTGGCTCACTTCATTTTCAATGAAAATAATATATTATTAATTTATATCTATTTAAATATAATTATAAATTATAAATAAAATCGTGTAATCAAATCGTATATCGTTATAAATATTAAATATATTTATAATTTCAAAATAAATACAAGTAGAAAAACATATGAAAAAACAGTTCATTTGAGTTCAATTGTGTTCACACTACTCATGTATTACTTGCTATTAGTTTATGAGTGAATTAATTGATAAGAAAAATAAAGAGACAAAAAAATTATTCAAATATCATAAATATTATGTATTTTAATAAATATGCATAAGAATTATCAGCGATTAGATAATTGTTATTGCATGTATTTAAGTAGTCAGTTGAATGAACCTAGATTACTAGCCGAGCGAACAACAAACTTATCTGGATCAAAATTCAATGTCACACCATATTTACATATATTTTCATTATTATTTTTTAATAAACATTTTATTAGAGCTATTAATAAATTTTTCAATGATAGGCAATGTGTTGACTAAAATGTATCAGAATTTTGTTGGAATTTACTCCCAATTAAATACATGTGATATAAATATCAATACATTCAGTGTGTATACAAGTCCTAAAATGCATATCATATGTTTTTTATATATTCATATTAAATATGCCATAACTCTAACTGTCATTCATTTCAGTCTCTTAACGACAACTATCTTAACACTTGATTTATACAAAATGTGGAAAATTTTAGACAATTTTCTTGTATAGTAATAATTGACTACTTTTTTCGACAATGTTTTGCATTTACTTAAGTCTTTCTCTGTTATCAAATCAAATGACTCATATATATAGCCGTCTAAATAAGCGGTGTCTGGGATATATTGTTTTTTAGCACTGAATCTCACTGATATATGCCTGATATGCCGGTGCGAGTAGCACTTGGAGTGTACGCACAGCCAGTGGAGTACTACTCACTCCCTCATCGATACAATCGACAGATTTTCTCAATGATTTTTACTGTAAAATCCGAGTTTTTACTCCAAAAAACAGCTCAAAATAGCAGACAATACTTAATAAGCATCGAGTGATTCACTTGTATATAAACAGGGAATATATCAATCGGTGGGCCCTGTCGTCGGGGGCAAGTGTGGGAGAGTAGTCACAGAGCACTGGTAGTCGGTAGTCAGTCAGTCATAGAGCTAGCACTGGTAGCTAGCTGTTATTCAATAGTAGGCAAAAAGTTTTTTTTTATTATTCACGTATTTTTTAGCGAAATTTTATCCCAAAAAAACGTAAAGTGAAGTAAAGTCTGCGATAATAACAGTCAGAATAGTAGGCGATGCGAGAGATTCCGTGGAAATAACGGTAAAGTATTCTCTCATTGTATGCCTGCATGTGAGGGCCGGGATGTGAACGCGATTGAGTAGTTTAGTTGAGTATAAAAAATATGCGCGCATTTGTGATCCTCTTATGCAAATCGAGAGCACATACAGCTTTCTGTATGACATAACAGTGCTCTCAATGCTATCAATAATAATATGCATTTACTTCCTATTGCACGCATACACACCGTTATGTAATGTCACAGCGCCGGTAGTTTTTCCCCCGAAGTTGTATGCGCTACTGTATCCATATATACGATACAATGGGATGTGTTATGTCTGGACTGAGTCTGTCTTAAACACATATTTGCGTATAAAATGCATATTAAATAAGCGGTGGTTTGCTGTGTGTGAGTGTGTATTGAATACCAATGTCTTGTGTATACATGTTATGCATATATCTCTTAGCTTTGAGATGTCTTCCAGAAGTTAAACACTACTCTACAGTCTCTCTCTCTCTCTCTCTCTCTCTCTCTCTCTCTCTGGTCATTAAAATTATTGTATTTTTCAATTCCTATTCTCTCGCTCTTTCTCTGTCTGTATATCTGTTTATTATGCAGTGTGTGTGTGAGTGTGTATTGAATACCAATGTCTTGTGTATACATGTTATGCATATATCTCTTAGCTTTGAGATGTCTTCCAGAAGTTAAACACTACTCACTCTCTCTCTCTCTCTCTCTCTCTCTGTCTCTCTCTCTCTCTCTCTCTCTCTCTCTCTCTCTCTCAATATTTGAATACAAGATGCAAGTCGTGAGCAAACATATGCACCGGGAGGAGAGTGGGATAGTGAGCACCGAGCATATCATTACATGCCGTGTGTTTGACATTTAAATTTATTTTGAATACAATATGTTATCATAGTCTCTACCCATTCCTATGCCCATAAATACACTATTGGAAAGTTGTGTAATAAATAATCAGAGTATAAAATTCTGCACTCGCCTACGAGTACACAAAATATACCTGTACTGTACATTATATGCACCAAAGTACTATTTTAGTCTACGTACTTTTCTCATAGACTAAACATAAGCCTGGAGTTCATTATATCTGAACTCTACTGTGAATTTGGAAAACGATTTTTTGTGTTGTATTTTGTATTTTGTTTAAATAAAGTCAAATACATTATTCATTGGATTTATTCTCAATTTCTACTCTCAGAGATAGTGGAGATACTCAGTGGCACTGGTATATCGGCAAATGTAGAGTAAGTTTTCATATAACTCGTAAATACAGTATACATATGCGTTTGGATAAGGAGGTAGAAGTCAAGGGTGGAAACAATTTTATGCAAACAAACCCGGCTTATATTTTAATGCTATGCTAATGCACTCTCCATTGGTTAACATTGCATAACAAGTCTCGGAGTATAATATTTGTAAGCAAATATTGAGTGAATATAAAGTTTTTTTATATAAGAAAATACTATTAAAATAAATTTACTTATCAAATATTATGTACGTTTGAAGTGAATTTATTTTTCAAAGATAATTTAAATATGTTTTTGTCTGTTGCAATATTATTGTATGATAAATTGGCACGATAAATTATCCAGCATATTAAGACATTGGGAACCGGCTATTCATTGGCTACACGTGTGAACACAGAAAACCATTTGATAAACAGATATACAGACAGAGAAAGAGCGAGAGAATAGGAATTGAAAAATACAATAATTTTAATGACCAGAGAGAGAGAGAGAGTGAGAGAGAGAGAGAGAGAGACTCTTTTCTCAATCTCCCCGATATATCCGTTATTTTAAAGTGGGATTTAGTGTCTCAAACTGTTTTGGCTTTTATACGACTGAGGAGTAAATTTTTTTAGGGGGAGACGGGAGGGAGAGAGCGAGAGATAGAGGGACTAGTAGTCTGAGTCGATCGAGAGGGGAATCCCTTGAATGCGAGTGAAAGTGGTGTTCGTCGGAGAGGGAGTCGGGGGTAGTGTTGGGAGATGTCGGGGAGGAGGAGGAGGACAGGGAGACAGGAGAGGGGTATAGAGAGTATAGAAAGTAGTTGTTGTATATAATGTGTTTGGATTATGATGTATATGTTGTACGGTTGGAGAGTGTGTGACACATAACATATTGCTTTGATTGTGTTTTTATGACTGCAAAGTGTTATATGAAATGCAGTGTTATATTTGACTTTGAGGTTCAACCCAATTGTCACCAAATTTTTTTTGAAAAACTTCACGATTGCTGTCAATTTGATGCCAGAGATTAAAGCTGAAAAAGGGATGCAATGGTGGGAGGAATGGGAGATGTATGGGGATAGGGATGAAGTGCTGACTGCACCTTATGATTGAGTACTCTATTATAAAATCTATATTTAAAAAAGTCTAATTGAATTGAAATGTGTTTTTGTATCATATTTATGGGGTTTATTGTGTGAAATAATTTTATAATTCACTGCTTTGTAAATTGATTACCAGTTGCGAGCAAAATAAACAAATGAAAAAATATTACTTTTTTCATATACTTAATACAGATTTATGAACACAAAAAGGAAAATTTAATTAATTAGAAATTCTTGTATAAAATTATCATAAATCTCGTGAAAATCTTATTATGGGATTAATACGATTAAAACAAAAAAGCTATCTAGCTAAAAACTATTTTATCACTAAATAATACATAAAACTAATAATCTATAAAATGCACATTTGTCTCACGAAAATATATTTGCCTTAAGTTTTCAATATTTGAATTGAAAGTCGTTGTGTTTTATATTTTTTTCATTTGTTTAGTGTTTTTTGTATAATAAAGCGATTGTAATCTCATGAATGCCTTTGATTTAGAGCCGTAGCCAACAAAAAGTTAATTTAAAAATTGAGTTTTTCTTACGAGACTACGGCTACCAGTGCTCACTCGCACAAGATTGGTGACCGGCACTGGTATGTGACGGGTGGCGATGGCGGTGACCTCTCTTCCACCCCCACCCCCACCACTTCAGCTAACACTCTGTATCCACTTTTTTCTGGTGATAT